TTCAGTATCAGTTATCGGTTCTTTATTAGAATTATCCAAAAAATACTGGATTCCGAGCCGAAATGAATTTATTTGTGTACCAATGGATAAAATGAAATGCGTAGTGTTTGTGACTGCATACTACATACTACGGTATGCTAATAAGTTTTATTTGCCAAATAAAATACAAATTGCAGAATATTTAAATTGATCCAGGATATAAGATTGCATTTTAAGCAACTGTAATAATAGCAAAAACAATGGTAGAATTTGGTTGCGTGCCTCTGCTCGAATGTGCAGCATTAAAATTAGTGTATTTGCTATCGTTGTTCAGATGTGCCAATGCACATAAATAAATGCAAATGATCCTTTGCCTTTGCCAGTGTTCGAATATATTCACAGGACTGCGTTACACTTAACAGGAATTCACTGTACACTGTACACTGTGCACTGCACACTCCAATTGTGCTTCGTACTGCTGCATGCCTTGTTGCATTTGCAGAGATACGCAGCCACACACACCAACGTCAAGTGCTTCCTTCTTAAATTGACCAGTCTGGAAATATTTGTCTTGCATGTGATATCCTTTAGGAATTCACTCAACTTTAGTGCTGTTGCAGCAGTTTTTGTTAGTGTAGTTGTGCCGGGTTGTTGCGAGAGCTTGTTTGATTTTATTCATTATTTTCTGTCATATTTCATGACATTCCTTATTTGTTTATGTTTAATTCTCAGCTTTTAATGTTGGCATTTTTATCGGTTTTCATCACGTTTTTTGGATAAGGACAACAATTTATACAGAAGAATTGTTTTAGTAATTTTTTTATGTGTTCTTAACTTTTACTATTTTGGACTATCGAATCGTGCATTTGATTAATGTTGAAAAATATTTTATATTAATACTTTATTTCGTTGGAAGCTGAGCAATTTGTCTTAACTATAAAATGGCAAAGATTTATGAATCTTCTTTGATTGCAGTCAGTTTCGTTAATTAAATTCGCAAAATGAAAAATAAAATTCTCTTATATTTAATGAAATTTCTTTTGGACAGTCAATCTTGAGTTAAAACTATAACTTTTTAGCAAAACGTCTCATCGTTTTAGTGCCATAAAGGAGTAAATGACTCCAACTCTGAGATATAAAAACGCAATAAATTTAAAAGGAAAAAAAAGAAGATTTTTTACATTTAAAAGAGCAAAATCGATCTAAACGGAAAAATATAAACAGCACACATTGCAAGAAAATATCGAAGTGAAAAGGAAAATTTCAACAATAAGTTTATTATTATGTTGAGGTTAGTTGAGTCAATGCACTTGAGCACTTTTACTCTCTATTAACTGCGAGAATTCTTCATACGCCTTTCTTTACGCCTTGACTGGATTATTGTATTCACTTCATCAGACTAAGCAATAATTGACCTTCCCCGAGAGCCTGTAAAACTATTCTGAGATTTTGATAAATTTGATTAATATTATTTTGTAATTTAAATAATGAGTTTATAGGAGGTAAAACGGAATTTAACAGTGTTAACTTTGGATATGACTCTAAGGTAGCGAAGTATTGCGACCATGCTGATTTCTTTACAAACTTATTTTAACTTATAATTTTACTTATTGACTCTTCAGCTCTTTCAGCTTAGTGTTCTTCTCCTAAACAGATTTATACTCGTGATAGTCACAAGAAATGTTGGACTTAAGAACTTATCTGCGCCCGAACCAGAAATTCTACATTTCTTTCTTCACAGAGTCATTGCATAACCTTACAGCAGCCTTAACTCTGTTGTACTAAGAAGGGCTGCCTTACTGTAGTGTAGTGTCAGACTATGTCGTTGTAATGATTACAAAAGAAGAGTATAGCTATACTATAGGCCAGTTAATCTGCCATTCGAGCACTAAACTTGTAAGAAGTTGACTTTAAATTGGTGTAGGATTGTTTTTAGATATTCAATCCGTAGCTTAAACAGTTAGTTTCCACTGGGTTCTTGGTAACACAGAAATACTGAGATATAAGCAAACCTTTGAACTTGCCAGAAAAGTAGCGAGTTCAGAGAATCATGGGAGGTGGTATTAAGAAAGACTAAAGAGCAGAAACACTTTGCAAGTCTCACAATTTTGAAACAATTTAAAATGCCATAAGGTTGCTACAATGGTAAGCAAAAACAAAGCAGAAATCTTAACCGTGCAATTGAGCGATTACACTAAACTCAAAGCATACCAGGGTAAGTAAATGGATAGTGCTGGATGATCAAAATCACGAAGCTAACTGTTTTGATAATATCGTTTTGATAAGCGTTTTGTCTTTCATAATTCGAAATAGGATGAATAATTGACGACTCAGTTTATCTTTCTAAATGCTCTTTGTGTATATT